CATTCTGCAGGGCACAGAGAAAAATGAATGACAAACTGCCAATGCAGGTGGACAGTTTCAAATATCCTGCTTCACTGAGAAGTCTGCCAGACACATTAGGCCTATAGGCAGAAGATGGATACCCCAATATCACAGAGAAACTTTGGGTGACTGTCCAGGCAGCAAGATGTTTCTGTCAATTCTAGAGTTTATAGATTATCCTTCTGAGGTCTTTGATGAAGTTGAAGACAGAAGATAGTTATGGTTATGGTTTTCCTTAGTTATAATAAAAGATGTTACATATAAAACTTTAGACTCACAAAGATAGGATAGATATTTTTTTCAAATTTTGCCAAATGTAAATGTTAAATTTTGCCAAATATTGTTAACTATAGTTCTTGCTTGATAAGTGTTTTGACATATATAATTTTACTATGTTAAAGTTAAAACCTTCCTTTTTACTTAGACAGAAAAGAGGAGATGATGGGGGATGTCATTCTGTATAAATGCTTCTCTTACTGGCTGATGAATAAAACACTGATTGGTCAGTAGCCAGGCAGGAAGTATAGGTGGGGCTACCAGATGAAGAGAATTCTGGGGAGAGGACTTGGAGAGTGAGCTGCCAGGGAAATGCCATTAGCCACTGAAGGAATAACAGGTCCCAGAATTCTCAGGTAAGATAAGGCCATGTAGAAACACATAGATAATAGTTATGGGTTAATAACTAACCAATAAGATGCCTAAGCCATTGGCCAAACAATTTATAATTAATATAAGTCTCTGTGTGGGGCTAAACGGCTATGGGAGGAAGAAAGAAACTCAGTCTACAGTAGAGTGCTTGTCTAGTATGATCCCCAGTGCCACATAAAACAGTATGGTGAAGGATTGTGATCCCAGCAGTCTATTGGAGGACCAGGAGCTTAAGATCCTCTACTACATTGTGAGTTCAAGACTAGTTTGGGCTATGTGAGATCTTATATAAATAAGAAAATAAACATGATTTAATTGGATAAGTCTTCAGTATCTTTCTTGTCCTGTCTAAAAGTAAGTGAGTAGAAATGTTTGGACAAGCTGCTATACATCTTTGTTAAAGGAAAGCTATTCAGATAATTAGTTGAATCTGTCTGGATTTATACAGACTTTCAACAGGAGGAAAATAATATAAATAATTAGTTATCTCTGGGGTCTGGAGAGGAACTGAAATAGTGGAGGAAGATGTTAAAGCCTTATTCTATACTTCTGTATTATTTACTTTAAGAATAAAGTTCCACAGCCAGGGCTACACGGAGAGACTTTGTCTCAAACAAAAACAAAAACAAAGCACATACACACACACACACACACACACACACACACACACACACGCACACCAGCAACAGCAGCAAAAAACCAAATAAAGTCCCAGAGATGGCTCAGTGTTGAAGAGCACATGCTGCTCTTTTAGAGGACCTAAGTTTGACTCTAATCTCTCCTCTGTCCAATGGTCTATTTTGCACTCCTCCAGAATATTTAAAAGGCTGCTAATGGGAGTTTTTTCTGTGGTCTGGGGATGCAGGGAACTGATATATATATATATATATATATATATATATATACTTTTTAAATGCCCATGAGCTTAGAGAATCTCTAAGCTGGGAAGCAATGTGTAGTTCTCAATGTAGTTGATCATGCAAGTTTTTGTTGAGAAACACTATTGTCCTTCTCAGAATTCACATTGAGAAATAATGACATAAGGGGAAAATGTGCTTAGAACTTCTGGCAGCATCCACGGCCTTACTCAACACACCCTCACAGTCATGTTTCCCCCACTTCCCAAAAACTAGCTTCCTTCCTTGCTCTTTCCATCTTGAGTTTCCTATTTGTGGCCCTGTCAGTCTCCTCCAATAAGCAGCACCTATACCATCTGATAATAATCTTTAGTCACATATAGGCACCATAAAAACTTGTGGCTTTTTAAGAAATAATACACATCTCTCCCAGTTTGAATGACTGTCACTTGTACAATGCTGGGGTTTCATACAGCTTAGGCTGGATTTGAACTCTTGATCCTCTTGTCTCCATCTCCGAGGTGCTGGTATTACAGGTGTGCATCAGCATGCCTAACAACGTATCCCTTTGCACTGGCAGAGAAAGTACTGAAAATGTTGTTGTATTCATTTTGTATGCCTGCTGAAATTAATTGCCTTGAGCTTGATGATTTAAATCAGCTCAGCACTGGGCTAAAATCAAGGTGTAGAAAGGGTTATGTTTCTTCTTTGGGAAGAATCTCTTTGGGTTCCTCTCCCAGTTTCCAGAAACGTCTGGATTGTGAGGCTCCTGATTATTTCCCTCCATCTTCAAAGCCAGCAGGGATGGGTTGGAAATTCTTTCTCATTTCATCAATCTCTGTAATCTCTTCTGCACCCCTCCTTTCTCCCTCCTTTCCTCCTTCCCTCTCTCTCCCTCCGTTTCTCTTTCTCCCCCCACCCCTCTTCTTGACAGGGTCTGCTGTAGCCCAGATGATCTTGAACTCCTGATCCTATTATCTCCTCTCAAATGCTGAAATTATAGGCTTGTGACCCTACACATGACTCCTGAGGAAGACACAAAGGGAAAATTATGGTGACCTCAGGAGGCAGAAGAGCCTCCACTCTAGAGTCTGATTGAAGTCTTTCTCTCTAGTCAATAGTGAACAGTTCCAACACTATTAACATTTGCTGTGAAGGTTGTCAGTGTAGGAGATGATATTCTTATTATTATTGTAGAGAGAATGTAGAGTTATTAAGAGAAAGTAAGAAAGAATAATGCCTCCTTAAAAGTTTTTTTAAAACTACATTTTAATTTAAGGTGTGTGTATGTGGCAACTGTGTGATGGAAATAAGAGGACAACTTTTAGGAGTCAGTTCTCTCCTTCCAAGTAGGATGCAAGATTCTGGAATTGAACTCAGGTCTTCAGGCTAGGTGGCAAATGCTTTTACCTGCTAAGCTATCTTGTCATTGTCCCTTGCCATCTCACAACTTGCCTATAAAAGCACAAATGCACACACACATACCTCAAACCACCACCACCACTTTTGAGACATGATTTCCACATAAAGCCTAGACTGGCCTAGAACTTGCAATCCTCCTGCCTCCACCTCATGAGTGCTGGGTTTACAGGTATTGTGCTGCCATCCCCAGCTGTGGGGATGGTCTTGTTTTGCTTTGTTTTTCCTGTTTTGTAACCCTGCCTAGTCTGAACTCACTATGGAAACTAGGCTGGCCTTGAACTCACATTTACCTTTGCCTCCCATATGGGATTAAAAACATGTGCAATCACACCACTTGGACTAGTGATGACCTTTAAAACATTATAATTATATAGAGAATGTTTAAAAAGCAACAAACTGTTATAGACTAAGCATTTATGATCTTCAAGTATGGCCTAACTTCTCTCTCAGATATTTCCCCTGAATCTTACAACAAAACTAAACCTTTGTTTACAGTAAAGACATTTTAAATTCCCCTGCAACCTTCCTTGTGACCTAGAATTTTACCCTATCAGTTATGTTCCTATTCACCAAGTAGGAGCCACCCTATGATCTCAGATTCTTCAGCAACTCCTTGAAGATGATAGATTTGAAATCCTTGGTGGATATGGAGCCTGTAAAGACAAGGCAGGACTCTCTGAAAAGCTCATTCTCTTGGCTATGTCTTTCTTTCTGAGACCCTCACTGCCTCTTAACCATAGAATTTAGAATCTATATGAAAATCTCTTTTAATAAATTCCAATTCCATTTCATATTTTATCACGCTGAGATGAAGCAAAGTCAAGAGTCAGGTTTTCTCTGAATCCAGCTCCCTCTCCTCAGGTGGCTGGTGGCAACTTGGAGGAGCACCACATCCCTGTTGACAACCCCCTCTTTTCCACTTTGGGAAGACGCTAAGGACAACCCTGAGTCTACTCAGATTATCAAAGATAATATCCCTGCTTAAGGTCAGTTGATTAGCAACTTGAACTCCATCTGTAAGCTGAATTCTCTTTTCCCATGACCTAACATACATTTCCCAGGAATTATTGGGTGAATATTCCTCTGTGTGTTTAGAGGGTGGGGTGAGAGGGGGCAGAGGAACATAGCAGAGCCCAGCCTGGGCTACACAGTGATTTCAAAGCCATTCTGGGTTACAGAGGGGAGTGAGACTGCCTCAAACAACAATAAGAACAAAACAACTATGAGGAGACGTTATAGCAAATCACTTGAGTCTTAACATTGACATTCGCTAAAATGGAAGTTGCTGTCCTCTGTGTTAAATTTATTTAACCTGGCTTAGCTTGGAGGCCAGCAGATAAGACTCAAGGTCTTGATGGATCTTTATGAGGATGGTGGGTGACGTTCTCTTAATGACATTTGGAGATAGTGTAAGAGATTTCTGAAGAGAAGTGCTTATCCTTAACTGAAGCGTAAGGTAGAAAATTCCAGCAAAAGGAATCAAGAAACAAGCTTCCTTCAAGGCTAAAATGAAGTAAGAGTTTAATGTCCTGGTCTCCATGTAGCAGACACTACTGAACTGAAGAGATTCATTGGTGAATCTTTATAGGTAAATACTATATGTATTATATCCAAAAGCAGATACAATTATTCTGTCATTCAATGTGAATTAAGAATAAATATAATAACAAAAGACTAAAGAAACAGGTTCCACCGAGATTTGAACTCGGATCGCTGGATTCAGAGTCCAGAGTGCTAACCATTACACCATGGAACCAGCACAGAAGCAGCACTGTCTTTGGGAGTCTAATGGTAACAAAACCCCGCCCCCACCCCCCTCGACCGGAAACAAACACTATGCCTCTCTTCCCTGCATGGTTAAGGAAAGAACAAGCCAAAGGCCCGTAGGACTGTATCTAGCTGGGCATTTTAAGACTGTTCCATGTAAGCCTTCCGAAGCCGGCCGAGAGTGCGGAGTCCACTCCCGTGCACACATCAGGGGCGGGGCGCCACTTCTCCGGAAGTCCTTCCTGTGAGGGGCTGGGGCCTGACGGAAGTGACGCAGAGGCAGGGCGGGGCTCTTCACCGGGTCCGGCAGCTGAAGCTCGGCGCTCGGGTTAACCCTGCAGCGACGCCCCCTGGTCCCGCCGCTGTCGCCTCCGCCGCTCCCGCCCCTCAGCTCCTCGGCCGCGCCATGGGCACCCGTGACGACGAGTACGACTACCTCTTTAAAGGTGAGTGCTTGGGCCGCCGAGTGCCTGTTCGGGCCCGAGACACTCCCGGGGGACCCGCGCGAGGGCTAGAGCCCTGCCCTGGACGGAGCCCGCCTCAGCTTCCTCCCTGCTGCCCCGACGGGGGTCCCGCCGGCCGGCGCAGTTCCTGCGCCTCGGGGAGGGCTGCCGGGCCGCGTCGCCCCTCACTGTGTGTCTTCCCCGATGGCTGCGTTCCTCACGGTCTGGCAGTTTCTTCCCTGGGCATCTCGGGCCCCTCCTCTTGGATGCACGCTGCCGGCCTCACATCCCCCTCTGACAGGCCCCTGCCTAGGCTCAGCACCCATTTTGGGGCACCGACTCTACGGGGTTTTTGCTTGTTTATTTGTTTGTTTGTTGTCTTTTTTCCTTTTCATTTCCTTTCGTTTCCCCTCCCTCCGAGTGAGCCTTTCCTGGGCTTCGGCCAGATTCGCCCATCCCAGGGCCCCCACCCCCATCCCTGCAGACCTCGAGGTCAGTATCCGCGGACTGACCTCTCCCTCCCCGCAGATGGGCAACTCTGTGCCTTTCCTTTTCACCTAACGTTCAGAGCTGCGGTGCGACCTGGCTGGTGGGAGGGGAGACCAAGGGAGGGCAAGAGGGCCTGTCCATCACCCCTGGCGTGCGTGCACTTGTCGCAGTGTCCAGGCAGGCAGATGACTTCCCACCTCGCCTTTTTAACCCCCTTCCTTCTCGTGTCCCTGCTCAGCTACAACCAGACCCGGATAACTCCTTTACTTGGCTTTCGTGAAGGGGCTGCGGATGGGTGGTGGCTGTTATCCCTGCCAGACCTGAAGGCCCAGTTCCTGGACAGGAAAGGTTGTGCGCTGCACAAATACTAGCTAGCTTATCACTATGGACTGGTTGCTTCCTGCTGCAATACTGGGAGGATCCAACAGGAAGGGAAGAGCCCTGGTTGGTCACATACCTTTCCCCAACGGTGGGAGAGGGTTATAGTGGTGGCGTGCTCTTTTAGTGAAATTAAGAATTTATTGCAAGGTAGGGGAAAATGCGAAGCGGGTGGACAGACATGGGAGGATGGGGAGTAGATAGAGAATTGCTTATTGGTTGAGTCCGGAAAGAAGCCAAAGTAAAAGGATACAGTTCCCAGCGAAAAGAGAGTACAGTGAACGCTTTTTTTGTTGTTGTTCATGAATGCGCTCTCACTTTCGTAGTCTTGCTCTGCTCCTGATTTAGAAGGGCAGCCATCAGTAGTGTGCTGAACAAAGATCATTACCAGAGAGGAAGAAGCTTTGCTATTAAAGCTTTACTGTGGAGGGTGGAGTTTCAAGAGTGTGAAGCATGGTGTTTCTGGCTTTGCCATTGGGTGCTAAGAGTGACTGACGAAATGATGAAGCAGGATACACTTCTTTTGCGATACCATATACTTTTACAAGTCTTGGTGTATTAGCTGCTGGTACACCCTTATCATTATTTAGCCCCCGGGATAGTCTGTTTATATGGTAAGTTAGTAAGGTACCAAACTTTAAAAATACAAATAGGAAAACCTGGTGTGCTGTAGTTAGCCTTTAAAATTCCAGCATTCAGGAGGCAGAGGGAGGTTGATCGTGTGGGTTCCCAGCCAGAGTTACATAGTGAGACCCTGTCTCAAAAAATCAAAACCAAACCCAAAACAAATTGGAGACCTAGAATGCTGAAGGCATCTGAGATGATGTGAAATTACTTAAATCCCAGGAGCATTTGGGGTTGGTTTACTTAAGTACTTCGTAATGACAGTGAGTACCTAGTCTCTTTCGAAGTTATTTCTATTTGATTTGGAATGTGAAGGTTGGCTATAGAAAGCTGTTTATTTTTCCTAGGAGTGTTAATTTATCCTAGATTGTGGAGAAAACACTAGGGCTTTATATTTGCCTGTGACTTTGGAAAAGTTAACTTTTCAAAAGTAATTTTTTTATTTTTTGAAATTATAATTATTTCCCCCCTGCTCAACTTTTTTTAAGCCTCAGTTTCCTCAGTAAAGGAAATCCTGTGATACCTTTTTGAGGAATAAGTGAGATTGTAAAATTTAGCTCTTGTGAAGATTCAGTAAATGATATAAATGAAATTGTTACAATTCTTGTTAGTTCTTGAGCCATAAATCTTTTTAAATGTTTAAAAACGACATTTATTGATGTGTGTGATAATGTGCACATGGCACGTGAGGAGGTGAGAGAACACCTTTTGGGGAGTCGGTTACTTTCTTCCACTGTGTCAGTCTCAGGGGTGGAACTCAGGTCATCAGGCTTGATGGGAAGCACCGTTACCCACTGAGCCATCTCACTAAACAATCAATCTTTATGTTAAAGAACATGTAAGTTTTATAAAGAAGCACAGAAGAACTAAGAAACTTCTGAATTATTTTGTATCTCTGTGGGTTCTGGTTTTATTTTTTATTTTTTTGTCGTATAAGACTGGATGTTTAAAAAATTTGCCAGGCATTGGTGGCACATGCCTTTAATCCCAGCACTCGGGAGGCAGAGGCAGGTGGATCTCTGTGAGTTCAAGGCCAGCCTGGTCTCCAGAGCGACTGCCAGGATAGGCTCCAAAGCTACACCGAGAAACCCTGACTCGAAACCCACCCCCCCCAAAAAAAAATCTGCTGAGAAGAGTTTCCACTTTTTAGAAACTGCTACAGGATATGAGTCACTTTATTTTTTATTTCAACACTGATTACTTAGCCAATTTTTTACTTATACAATTATTTTAAAATGATTTCATTCCAGAGAGATTTATTCTAAGATGAACCAAAGCATTTCTACTTTGGAGAAGGCTAACTTAGCACACTGCATAGTTAAGGAAATTGGAGTTTGTAACATTTAGCATGAAGGGGTATGTTTATCACATGGAGTGGAGTAGTGTGAGTGGGGATGTGATATGGACAGGTAAGGACAGTTCTAAATCATGTATTTGTTCTTGAAAATTAAATTTTATAAGTAAAATTTGCTTTGCAGTGAAACCTATGGAATTTGTTTTATTTCTTAAAAGCATGACTGTTTAAAAACATGTTAACCTTGTACATACACCAGTGTGGTTAAGATGCTGTGGGATAGACAGGTGGCTGGACACCAGGACAATGTGGCACTTTCTGGAAGCAGGTGGGAACATAGTCTACTCTCCTGGCTTTTTCTTTCCACGTGTTATGAATCATCAGCTGATCATCAGTAGAACCATCCCTGTCTTGAATCTTGGTAGCTTTTCTTTCACAACTTTTGGTTGAGCAATTCAGATTCTGATGAAGCTGGAAAACTTGTCTTAGACTTCAGCATTATTGACACATTTTATTTTAAAGGCTTGGTGAGGTTGGACTTTGAGTGTACTTGAAAGTAGAAATACTTCGAAGCTTTTGAAAACCAGTATGAAAATGGTTAGGGATTTCAGCTGGTAAGCTTTAAAGCCAGTATTCTGTATGTATGGTGAGGAGATAAACAGTAAATGAGCTTACTAGAGAAGTATAAAACTAAGTGTGGAGCATGGAGGCTCGTGCCTGTGATTCCAGCACTTGGGAGGCTGAGGTAGGTGGATAGCCATGCTTTTGAGGTCAGCCTGGGCTACAGAATGAGATCCTGTCTCAGAAAATAACAACAAAAACAATAGCAAAAATACTTAAATGTGGTTAGAGATAGAAATTTTAAATTTAATAATAGACAATGTATATGCTCTGCTTTTATAATATTTAGCAGTTTGATATTTGTGGTATATATAATATATAAAACATATATGTAAACAAATTAATATTAGATATTGGGTTGAGCTTCAGCAGATGAGGCTAAGTTCCAGGGAAGCATATTTAGGAATTATATTGATATTTGATATATAGATACTATTATTTGTCTTACAGTCATGTTGTTTAGTATGTACTCTATAGATGGCTAAAACTGTAGGATACTTAACTATATGTCCATTCAACCTAAGATATTAGTAATAGATATATAAAAATTACTAAAAATTTCTTTACATTTTTATTGCATTTATCTGTTTGTTTGTTTGTTTATTTATTTATTTATTTATTTATTTATGTGATTATATGTATGTTGGGCTTGTGTGCCACGGTGCGTGTGCGTGGAGGTCAGAAGTATGCTCTCTTTCTACCATCAGCCTTGGCATCAAGTGTCTTTATCTGCTGAGCCATCTTGCTGACCCAGAAATTGATTCCTTTAATTATTGGTTGTGAACATAAAGTTTCTTACATAAAAAAAAAAAAAAACAGAACAAAACAAGAGGCGTGGTGGGTAATAACTCAGTGATAAACCATGTGCTTAGCATGAGCCCTAGGTTTAGATCCCCAGCACCACTGGGGGAAAAATGTCAATGTTGTCATCTTAATGAGAAAAAGTATTTTAACTAGAATTTAATATTTAATTTTGAGTCCACAAAGAAAGGTCCATTAAGGGTTTTTGTTTGTTTGTTTGTTTGTTTGTTTTAATCGTAACCAATGAATTCTCTTTTGTTTGTAAGGTAATTCATACCATCCATCCATCCATCCATCCCAAATAGATCCACTCATTTTGATTTCTCATTTGGTTAGGAAATAAAAACATCTCTCCTTATCATATCACATTTCAACACACACACACACACACACACACACACACACACACACACACACACAGTCTCTCTCTCTCTCTTACAAAACTGGAGTCTTCTGCCATTTCAAACGTCCTTTTCCTTTGGCAAGTTGCAAGTCTTGACTTTTGGAGATCTTGTCAGTAAGCTAGTTGGTATAACTTTTATAGTTTTAGAGCATTTGTAATGTTGAATTATTTACAAACTTACTACTTTTCAAATAATAAAGTTAATTGGTTACATGGCCGTGGATTCTTCAGTTGGTATGGTATAAAGATTTGATGTTGGTGAGATAGTAAATTTAGTCATTTGTTAAAAGTGGAGGTCAAGCTGGGCATTGGTGGCGCACACCTTTAATCCCAGCACTTGGGAGGCAGAAGCAGGTGGATCTCTGTGAGTTTGAGACCACCCTGGTCTACAAGAGCTAGTTCCAGGACAGCCTCCAAAGCCACAGAGAAACCCTGTCTTGGGGGGAAAAAAAGTGGAGGTCAAAACATGAACCAGGGGCTTCGAATATGACTCAGCAATTAAGAGCACTTGTTACTTTTACAGAGAACCTGGGTTCAATTCCCAACACTACATGGTGGCTCACAACCATTCATAATCCCAGTTCCAGGGGACATAACAGGCAATGCATGTCATGTACATACCTGTATGCAGGGAAACCATCCATATACATAAAGTAAGATAAATTTAAAAAAATTCAAGAATGGCTAATGTTTTAAAACAAAACAAAACATGAACTACTGCTGGAGTTTCTGTGGGAGCTGTACATTGTTCTTTGATGGTGTTTCCCTACCAAAAGGTGATGTTAGCTAGAGGCCTTGTTTGCATGTGTTCTTTGTCTTTAAATTGTGACGGACTGGTTGAAATGGGAGTGTCTATGAATTAATTAGATGTGTGCTAATCTTTGGTTTTTCCTTCTTCACTATATATAGCTCTAGTTAGTGTTAATGCTAGTGTGGGACCAGAAGTGATTCAAAGGAAATTTCCTCAGCAGGTTATTCTGCCTCCTTTTTTAAAAATACACATACTTATTTTATGTCTGTATGTATGAATGTATGTTTGTTTTGGTGGTGTATTGGCTTATGCCATTGTGTGTGTGTGTGTGTGTGTGTGTGTGTGTGTGTGTGTGTGTGTGTGTGTGTGTGTTGTGTGTGTAGAAGTCTAAGAAGGAGTTGATTCTCTCCTCTCTACCATGTGGGTTCATGGGATTGAATTTAGGTCTTTAGGCTTGTCAACAAGACCTGTTGAACCATCTCCTGGCCTAAGTTTCTATACTCTTGGAGTGACTGAAGGATTGCTATTCAGGAAAGGTGTAGGGAGTTTTGGCTGAAGCTCAGACTAGGTTCTTAGCTGGGGCCATTTTCCCAGCCCCCCCTCCCCCCAGGAGTTGTGCTCTGAACATTTAGCATCTTACACTAAGAAACAACAGTGAATGTATCTTATTAATAGGGAGGCTCTATTAAGAAGCTGGGATTCAACTTAACATCTACAGTGGTGGAGTTTGGAAACCAGCCTACTAACTAACCATTCTGTAAAATTGAAAGTGCATTGTTTTGTTTTCATGACCTTGACATTATTTTCCCTGATATCCAGTACAAGCATTTAATGTCTGTTTACTAGGATACCCTCTAATTGACAAAGATAGAAAGAACTTCTCTTTGCTGCACAGAGTCACTGCTGCTGGGATTTCTTGCTGAATCAGCTGATAGAGGAAGCCAGAAAGATATGCATTTGATAATGCATGGTTGTTATAAGGCCAGCTAGTGCTACTTCTGTGACAGAAAAATGTGCACAGTGGGCTCTCTTTGTCTGGAGTGCAGTCAGCCTTCTTTCCACATGTACCATCAAATCCCAGTCTTTTGAGTAAAGCATGGCTTTACCTTTCATGGCCTTAACCTTTCATGTTGATTTTCTAGTCTGATGTCTACATCAGTCAGCTAGTTTAGAAGCATTACTAGTCAAGAATAGAAATAAATATGGTGTTCACTACAATACCAACAAAATTTATTTATTTATTTATTTGTTCTTATTAGTTCAAAATCAACAAAAATTTTTATGCAGGAAAAAATATTGTCTAGCTCAGATTCTGTAAACCTATAAACGCATTTTGATTTTCGAGACAGGGTTTATCTGTGGCTTTGGGGCTGTCCTGGAACTAGCTCTGTAGATCAGATTGGTCTCGAACTCACAGAGATCCACCTGCCTCTGCCTCCCAAGTGCTGGGACTAAAGGAGTGTGCCCCCACTGCCCGGCTTGATTTTTTTTTTTTTTTTTTAAGACAGGATTTTTCTGTGTAGCCTTGGCTGCCCTGTAACTTGCTCTGTAGACCAGGTTGGTCTTGAACTCAGAGATCTACCTGCCTCCTGAGTGCTAAGATCAAAGATGCGCACCCCTTCCCCACACACCCCATTTTGATCTTTAAACCCATTTTTTAACGAAACTTGTCTGAAGTTGGACATTATGACATACACCTATAATCTCAGCAAGAGGATTTTGAGTTCTAGGCCAACCTTGGTTCCAGAATGTGACCCCCCCTCTTTAATAATTTATTTATTTCTACTTTATACGCATTGGTGTTTTGCCTGAATGCATGTCTGTGAGGGTGTTGGATCCCTTGGATGCCCTGTAACAGGAGTTACAAATAGTAGTGAGCTGCCATGTGGGGGCTAGAATTGAACCCAGTTTCTCTGGAAGAACATTCAGTGCTGTTAACCGCTGAGCGGGGTGGGGTTGGGGGCTCCCTCTCTCCCTCCTTCCCTCTCCCTCCCTGTCCCCCCCCCCTTTCTCTTTTGGTTTTCCGAGACAGGGTTTCTCTGTATTGCTTTGGAGATTGTCCTGGAACTTGCTCTGGAGACGAGGGTGGCCTCGAACTCACAGAGATCCGCCTGCCTCTGCCTCCCAAATGCTGGGGGGATTAAAGGTGTGCACCACCAATGCCAGGCTCCTCTCTCTCTCTCTCTCTCTCTCTCTCTCTCTCTCTCTCTCTCTCTCTCTCTCTGTGTTCTTTCTTGACATGAAACTATATATAAACCAGACTGGCCTCAAATTAAGAGATTCCATCTGCCTCTGCCAAGACCCTCACTTAAACAATTCAACTTGTTTCTCAATTTCCTATTTCCCTTTTTTGTTTGTTTTGATACTGGGTCTTACTATGTAGCCCTGGCTGGCCTGCAACTCTATGTAGACCAGATTGGCCTCAAACTCAAAGATCTGCCTGCTTCTTCCTTCTGGATGCTGGGATTAAAGGAGTGAACCATGCCTAGCTCAGGAATTTATTTTATTTTATTGTTTTATTTGTGGGGTTGGTTTGGTATGTCTGTGAACTTCTTGTGTGCAATATCAGCAGAGGCCAGACGAGGGATTGGATCCTTGAACTGGAATTACAAACTGTTTTCTGGAGTTAGAGGGTTGTAAGCTACCATGTGGGTGTTAGAAATCAAACCTGGGTCTGTTGATGTCTTGCTCTGATCTCCCAGACAGGCTTTATTTTACAAGCAAGTTATCACCACACCTGGGTCCTCAGGAAGAACAGCCAGTGCTCTTAACCATTGAGTCATCTCTCTAGCCCCCCCAAAATTCTTTTTTTCCCCCAGAAATTCTTTTTTTTAAAATTAATTACATTCATTGGGACTGGAGAGGCGATTGAGTGGTTAAGAATTAGCTGATATTATGGAAGACCCAGTTCAGTTCTCAGCACCTGTTTACTACTGCAATTCTTCTCTGTCCTCTGGGCATTCCCCCCTCATACATATACACATAGCATACTTACAGAGACTCCTGTTTATACACATAGAAAATTATATTCATTCATTCATGTGTGAGCTCCGCACACATATGGAGATCAGAGGACAACTTTAGGAGTAGGCTGTCTTCCACCATGTGGGTCCCAGAGATGGAACTCTAGTCCTCAGGCTTGACAGCAAATGTCTTTACTGCCTTCTATTCATAGGAAATGAGTGTAATCAAAACTTGTTTTTGAATTTTTTAGAGAGTCCTAAGTGAAAGTGTTTGCCCTCCTTACTTTGGCTTTGACTCAGTATGTCAGATTGTTAGCTTCCTAGGGCTCCTGTTTGTCCATATAGAGGTGAAGTGACCCTGTGGCTTTCTGCCAGTCTGTGAAGTGTAACTATTAAAGATGATTATAGTTTCTATGACCAGAGCAGCAAAGCTTGTAACCCTCATGCCTCATGTTTTAAATGTGTTTCAGGTCTCACATCACACCTTGTCTTCAGTGAAAGTAGTAGAATGTGCACGTTTTCCCACTCTATGCATTGGTATCTTTTGTTTGATGCCTAAAACATGTGAATAACACAAGTTGTTATTTACCTTTCAGAATACTTTCTAAGGTAGTGACATTGCCATAAATTAAAGGTAATTAATGTTTGCATCAGTGGCTAGGATACCCTATGTTTAAAATTGCAAAATTGAGTTTTTAAGGGCTGGGGATATACATCAGTGGTCCAGTGTTTACCTTACATGTGTAAGGCTCTGGGTTTGAGTTCCCAGATAGGACAAAAAGCGAGGGATATAGCTGGGCGTTGGTGGTGTACGCCTTTAATCCCAGCACTTAGGAGGCAGAGGCAGGCGGATCTCTGTGAGTTCGAGACCAGTCTGGTCCACAAGAACTAGTTCCAGGACAGCCTCCAAAGCCACAGAGAAACCCTGTCTTGAAAAACCAAAGGGGGCGGTATTTTTTTAGATGGGGTGCTATGTCTGATCTGTGCTGAGTAGATAATGTGTGGAAGTCATCATGCAGATAGAAATAAATTATAAAGAGTAAGTGGATTTTTAATTGATTGGTCATAGACAAACTATTTAGCATTATGCCTCTCTCAAATCTTTGGTTGTATTTATTTTAAAGCTGAGTGTTCTTTTAAAAGCATGTTGGTATTCTGAATGTGCTTGCCTTCATGTAACTTATATTAATTTTTTATCTTTGTCTTTTCAGTTGTCCTTATTGGAGATTCTGGTGTTGGAAAGAGTAACCTCCTGTCTCGATTTACTCGGAATGAGTTCAATCTGGAAAGCAAGAGTACCATTGGAGTAGAGTTTGCAACAAGAAGCATCCAGGTTGATGGGAAAACAATAAAGGCGCAGATATGGGACACAGCAGGGCAGGAGCGGTACAGGGCTATAACATCTGCGTAAGTTCATGGTTTCTCAGTTCTGGCATAGGTTGGTATCAAGTGGATTGCTGACTTTTAAGTATTGTAAAGGCACGGTAGTCCTACCTTAACCTTGGGAGGTGTTCCAAAACCCTCCCTAGATGCCTGCAACCACAAGCCCTGAATGTTTCCATTTGTGGGTTTTTGTTTTCTTTTTTGATGTTTTTTTAAATTTATTTTTATTTTATATGTTTTGCCTGCATATATGTATGTGTACCACATTTGTGCTTACCGTGGAGGTAAGAAGATGGTGGCAGATCCCCTGAAAGTGGAGTTATAAATGGTTGTGAACTACCATGTGGGTGCTGGAAAACAAACCTGGATCCTCTGCAAGAACAACCAGTGCTCTTAACTGTTTTGAGCTGTCTCTCCAGCCCCCTGTATCTTTCTTCATAATAGGCCCTTTGTAGTTTTTCTTTGGCATGCCCTAGTTGCTTTTGGGGGCCATTATTCAATAAACTAAGGGATACTAGAACATAGAGAAGACCATAGATAGTGGGAGGGCTACAAAGAGACTTTAATGGGCAGGTAGTTTATACAGTGTGGGTACATTGGACAAAAGGATGAGTCATGTGCTGGCCCAGATGAAGTGGAACATTGAGAAGTTTCATCACAATTCTTAAAATGGTAGCAATTTAAAGCGTATGAATTATTTATTTGTGGAATTTTCCATTTAATATATTTGGACTGTGGATGACTAGGTATAATACCTCATATAAGGGACAACTACTGTTTACCACATCTATAGATATGGTGTGTGTGTATGTGCGTGTGTCCATATATAAGTTAATGTGTACATGTGTGTATAGAGGTCAGAGGACAACCTTGGGTGTTGTTCCTCACCTTCTACCATGTTTGAGACATACAGTATTTATTGTTCACTGCTGTTTATGCCAGCCTACCTGGCATTTGAACTTATGGAGATTTTCCTGTTTCAGTCCCGCATCTCGATGTAGGAGGACTAGGATTACTGTTCTCAGCTTTTACATGGGTTCTGGAGATTTTAACTCAGATCCTCAGGCTTAGATGGCAAGTGCTTTAACAGAGCCATCTTCCTGCCCTATACCATCCCTGTTTTGAGTTTTTTCTGGTGTTTCCTTCTACTTTGTGATTGTCTTTTGATAGTCACAATTGTTTGTGTTTGCAGATACTATCGTGGAGCAGTAGGCGCCTTACTGGTTTATGACATTGCTAAGCATCTCACATATGAAAATGTAGAGCGATGGCTGAAAGAACTGAGAGACCATGCTGATAGCAACATTGTTATCATGCTTGTGGGTAATAAGAGTGATTTACGCCATCTCAGGGCAGTTCCTACAGATGAAGCAAGAGCTTTTGCAGGTTAGTAATGTGGACTCCACAATATTACAGTGCTTCTGCATTTCTCTGTTTGAACATTATGCCTCTATTCTTTAACAAGGCCATTCTGTGTGAGTCTGAAAAGTAGTATACCAAGGAGTGTCAGGGACCGACAAAGGTGCACCTACTTAGAAGCTGAGCACTTTGGGCTTTATATAGGATCTGCTTTTTTCTTAGCACTGCACTGGCTAGGAAGTTATAACATTGTATTAGTGAAAATACTGTGAATATTTTCCTTTTTTTTTTTTTTTTGCACTTAAGGGGTCTACTCACAGAGAGGATACAGTGCTGTGCCTGCCCCTCATTACACAGCCCCAGATTCCTCTTGGGTGTGTTGTAAACAGAGAAGCCATTCTCCAGGCCCCCTGCTCAGAGAACACCCCATTCCTCTAACTTTCTAAGTTTCCAAATAGTGTAGTTACAGAATTCCAAGTAAACTTGCTTCTAGTTATGTACTTGCGAGGGAGAATGGCTAGGGGTAGAACAAGTGGGATGTTTGATAAGTTATATATTTTGAATAGTTTCATTCATTTCCAGTGGTTGTATTTATATGCAGCAATACTTAGAAGCTAATGAAAATTTCTTACTGTTAATTTTAATTTACTGAATTATAAGTAGAACAGTTCTTACTACCTCAGAAGTTGGTGTGTTTTAAGGTTTTGTTTGTTTGGTGTTTTGGGACTCTTTCTCATGTAGACCATACTGGTCTTGAATTCCTGGTCCTGCTTCTACCACTCAAGAGTTGGTGATAGGTATGTACCACCACGCCCAGCTAGGTCTTAGTCTTTTATCTTCTCTTTTGTGATCATGAGCTTATCACATCTGCTATTTTAAACCTTGAGCAGCTGGGAGGATAGCTCAGTGATAGAGGGCTCTCCTAGCATTGGTGAGGCCCTGGATAAACAGCAATCAAATTTCACAAGACTGAAAATTTCATTTCTCTCCACAGAGAAGAATGGTTTGTCGTTCATTGAGACATCTGCTCTAGATTCTACAAATGTTGAAGCTGCTTTTCAGACAATTCTAACAGGTGAGATTTGTAGTTTTCAGGTTATACCAGAGAAAACTGGAGTTTTTGGGTTTTCAAGACAGGGTTTCTCTATGTAGCTTTGTAGACCAGGCTGACCTTGAAATCAAAGAGATCTGCCTGCCTCTGCCTCCTCAGCACTGGGATTAGAGGCATCTTCCACCACTGCTTGGCTGAAGACTGGAGTTTTAGGAAGTGATTTAAACAAATTAATTAGGAAGCTGTTATGCCATCTGAAAATGACTATAATTTAAGAGCAACTGTAGCAAGAGTTCCTTGGTGTGCACAGTTACAATGCTTGCACGTTGAGCTTCACTCACTGAATTCATCTGAGAAAAAATTCTTTGAAAGTAATTTGTTCACTGTCCTGTGTTCAGGCCATGTAGTCTACATTTCATAGTCAAAAGGATGGAGTTATATGTTTTCATGTATGTTCTTTTTTGAAATGTACTTTCATAAGGTAAGTACTGAGATCTTGACTATAGAGTGATATAAATGCCCTTTGAAATTAGATAAAAATCTGGCTGGACAGATGGCTCAACATTTATGGATACTTACTGCTCTTCCAGAGCACCTGAGTTGTATTCCCAGCACCCATATGGGGTAGCTCACTACTACCTTTAACTCTAGCTTTAGGGGCTCTGATGCTGGTACCTGCACACATGTGACAGACAGACAGACAGATACACACACACACACACACACACACACACACACAGACAGACAGACAGACAGACAGATCAGAAACTAGAAAAAAAACTAGGGAAATTACATCAAAAAACTTAAGTGGGAAAAAAAAGCACTGATACTTTTTCCATTATATAGGAGTATGTCCCTTGTAAATAAAATCAGCCAAGTCTGAATATAGAGAAGTTTAAATGAGTAATGGGAAAGAGACAAAGTTCATGCTATTTTGGAATGTAGATAACCAAGTCAGCTTCTTGGAAAAGAAGACATTTTTATTTGTGCTGACTCATATTTACTTTGGCTTTATTAGAACAACCAAATTATCAGTACATTTAATCTATTAGGAAGTACTTTCATAGGTTGTTTTTCAGGACACCTATATTACATGTTTCTTTCTTTTGGTTTTTCGAGATAGGGTTTCTCTGTATAATAGTGCTGGCTGTCCTGGAGCTTACTTTGTAGACCAGACTGGCCTCTAACTCACAGAGATCCACCTGCCTCTGCCTCCTGAGTGCTGGGATTAAAGGCGTGCGCCACCAATGACCAGCTAAAGCTATAATCTTATTAATCAAGTTACTTATTCCTTAGAAAGTTTTAATTTCTTTATCTGTAAAATTCAGATATGAGGATGGAGAGATGGCTCAGCCATTAAAGGCTGGGCTCACAACCAAAATATAAAAAATTCAGTTATGTTGGACTGGAGAAATGACTCAGTAGTTATGAATACACACTGTTCTTCCAGAGGACCATAGTTTGGTTTCCAGTCCTCATGACAGGCTGCTTATAACCACCTGTAACTCCCCAGGGGATCTTACATCCTCTTCTGGCCTCTAAGAGTGCCTGCACATACATAAGCATGAACACACACATAGACATACACATAATTTAAAATAAATTTAACAAAGTTTCAAATACATTTTGGTTAGTTATTGTTTTCTTCATGAGAGTGTTTGTGCTTTTAAATTTCTGCAGTATGATTTGATAAGGCACAATTTAACTTTTTATTGCTACCGAAAGAATTCATTGTTGTTGTGTTGTTTATCTTCACTCCACAGAATAAGATGATCTGTCACTGATACTTCTGCTATAGTTTCCAAAAATGAGTTAATACCTGTCAAGGACTTAGCTATTCCTGGTAAATAGTGAACATTTGATAAGTCAGTACCTAAGTAACAATTAAGGCATGAAAAAAAAACCTTGTTAAAATAATATAAATATTGGAAATTTGCATCTATTTTATTTATTTATTTATTTATTTATTTAGAAGCAGGATTTCTCTGTAGCCCTGGCTGTCCTGGAACTTATTTTGTAGACCAGGCTGGCCTCAAACTTAGAGATCCACCACCTGCATCTGCCTGAAGAGTGCTGGATTAAAAGTGTGTGCCACCATATTATAAAATTGTTTTTTGTTAAAGGTCTAGTAGGGAGCTGAGGAGAATAAGCAGTTTGTGGTACATAGCATCTTTAAAAAAATTTTTTCTGAGTGATCTCACTGCAGATTGTTTTAAGCTTGCAATATTTTCTTGAATACACAGTATGCCTACAAGTTCTACTTTGTCTTTGTCTTGGAAGTGCTGAGATTAAAGGCATGTACTACAGCACCTGGCTTAATTTTTGACTTTTTAAAAATTAAATCTTATTTATTCATTTATATGAGGGGTGGGGTCATAGTGTTCATGTGGTGGTCAGAGGACAACTCCTTACAGTATTTGCTTATCAGGCTTGATGGAGGTTCCCTTTATCCACTGAGCCAAATGTAAAATAACAGTATTGGAAATGTTTTGCAATAGACCCACACTTTCTTTATATCCTTTAATCCTCAGTGATTCCAAGAGATGAGTTTTCTGGTGGTGCTTTGAGTAGTTGACTAGTACCAAGGTGGGCTGGTAGATTGCTCCACCCTTGCCTTTCAGTTCAGCTTTGTTCTTTCTGCCTCAAGTTCACCAGGAGATTGCATTGGGGAGGGGCATGCTGCTAGAGATCCAACTCTGTCTTGATCATGCCAGGTAAACACTGTACCAGCTGAGCTTCTTCCCTAAGAAAGGTTTTTTTTTAACCACTGTTTTCCATATCCTCTTTTCATATAAAAAATTTCGGAGGTGATTAAAACTTACAATAACATTGTAGAGGATTTGTGAGTACCTGTACCCCATTTCCTTAAGTGTTAGTGTCTTTTTTTCTTTCCATTTACCTCTTCCCTTCTTCCCTACACAGACACACACACACACACACACACAGCACCATGTGAAAGTGCTGTATATAACTTTCTCTAAGTCTTTTTTTAAGTTTTTTTTATATATTTGAATTACAAACAAGATTGAATTACATGACGATCCCAGTTCCCTTCTCTCTCCCTACCATCCCCCCAATTAAAATCCTACCTATCATATGTCCTTTCTTCTAATCTACACCTGACTCAACCTTTCTGTTTCCTCATGACCTCTGCACCCTTCCTTTTCTCCCCTTCTCACTCTCGTAGCTTCCTCCCCCCTCTTCCCATGTTCTCAATTTGCTCAGGTGATGGTGACCCTTTCCCCTTCTCCAGGGGACAAAGTTTGTCTCTTTTAGAGTTTTCCTTGTTTACTAGTTTCTCTGGCAGTGTAGATTGTAGGATCGTAATCCCTTCCTCTATGGCTAAAATCCACATAAGTCTTTTTTTTTTTTTTTTTATAACCACAACACAGTGATTTAATCACATCAGTCTTTAGTGACAGTCCTTACTTATATTTTGCCAGTTGTTCCAATAAAGACTTTATTAGTTTTTTTGTTTGTTTGTTTGTTTGTTTTTAAGTCTGGGATCAGATCATATGTTCCATTCGGCTATCCTGTCAGTGCTTGACAATAGTCCCTTCAGTTTTCCTTTGTTTACCAGTCTTAGCATTTTTAAAAGGTACAAAATGTCAGTTTCTCAGTTATGATTAAACTGCCGTATACAGCTTGTGGTAGGAACACTACCACATGGGTGGTTTCAGTTCATCATTTAGGAAGCTCATGATAATAGGTTTGTCTCATGATTGGTAATTCTAACTTTGAACTTTAGTTGAGGTGCTGTTAGCCAGGTTTCTCCATGTAATTAGTAAGTTCAAAGTAAATTCCTAATTTGAATACTAAACTCTTAATTCTGTGCCTGAAATAACTCATGTAACATACTGGCTCTTTAAAACAAAGCTAGAGCAGTTTGGTGGTGCATGTCTATAATCTCATCATGTGGGGGCTGTATGTGTATAAGGTCTTCCTGGGCCATATAACAAGACCCTGTCTGAAAAATAAATAAAAATGAAGGGACTAAAGTTACCAGGTATTAACTTCATCAGAATATTGAGAATTGTTAAAGAACTTTTGAATTCTGTTTTATTTTTGTGTGCCTGTATGTGACTGTCTATGTGGGCACAAGAATTGAGGTCAGAGGACAAGTGCAGGAGTCAGTTCTACGGTATTGGCTCTCAGGGATGAAATGTGGACACCTTTACTCACTCAGCCATCTTGCCAGCCAAGTACTGATTCTCTTCATTAGAGGTAGTGGTAACTTTGTTCTCACTTGGTACAGAAAATGTCAGACTGTCTCAAATTTGAACCTTTTTTGACTGTCAAGAAACATACATGATGAGCTTAGCAAATGAGAAGCTTCTTCAGAGGCTGTAGTGAAATTACCCAGGCTCCTGAGCTTTAGAAAAAATTTTGGAGAAACTGAAGAATTTTTTTTAAATTATTTTATTTTATGTGTACGTACAACTGTATATCTATGTGTGCACATGCCTGAGGAGATCAGAAGAGGATGTTAAACACCTTGGTACTACAGTTATAGATGACTGTGAGCTGCCTTGTGAGTGCTTAGGACAGATCAGGATCCTCAAGAGCAGACAGTGATCTTAACCTCGGAGCCATCACTCCAACACCTATTGGAGCTAACTAATTTTAACCCTCTGTTCCTTAATTGGGAACAGTTGTGTGTGATCTCCTTAGAATTATTTGGCCAGCTGTTACACAGTTCCCACAGATTAAAAAAAAAGAAAGAGAAGAAAAGAAAGACTTCATGTCTTCTTAGGAAGCTTTGCCTTACATTTAAAGCTAAGATATATTAGCATTTCACTTTATGTTTAGATCTCCTATAAGAGATTCTGATGAAAGATAAAGCAGGATTGCTTTGTTCTAGTTATTCCTAACCTTTGAACATCTTGAAAAGGGACTGCATGGGAATTAACTAATCACATTCATTTGGTTCAGGTCTTTGAGGGAAGTATAGAACCTGCTTCTGACTTAATATATTACTGACCCCTCCCCCACCACGAAGTAACCCTTTATAATACAATCCCTGCTGGACAGTTCCTGGTTACTATTTTCTTATCAAAAAATGACACACTCAACATGAGATTTAAGTAAATTACTTGTGGAACTCTTTTGAACTGTTTAGACCTGAAGAACAAATTTTCCTAATTTTGTTTATTGCCTTGTTGGTATTTTTCAAAAGTGGATACATTTTTAGTGACAGGAGTAAACACAGCATCGGTTACATTTCTTGAAGAATGCAGCACTTGGAGACTGTTGCACAATACTTCTCAGGTGTCTTGCTTTAAAATGAGCTCTCTTTAATTATTCACCTTTGTGTCCTCTAAGAAGTCTACCTTTGTTTCTCCTCTGGTGTGGTATGCATTTGTAATTTATGGAGGAGTTTCTGATGTTTTGGTTTTGTTCCCCTAACTTAATCTCCAGAACAGCTTGTAAAGAAGTTACATTTTAATAGGGATCACATATTTAGTGCTTTTCTCTTCAAAAAGATGATCTATCCAGTTCGGTATTAATGGACAACATAAAGAATGAATGGTATAGTTTAACCACAAGTTGATGATTATCATTATTTCTTAGTCACTAGTCTGAAGGGAACTCCTTTTCTTTGCCCTGGACACATTTCCATTCCATTCTTTTTTTGCTTTTTCTCTTTCCTTCCTTCCTCCCTTTCTCCCTCCCTGACTTCCTCTTCCATTCCCCAAACCTATCCCCTCTTTGAGATAGTGTATCATTGTGTAGCTCCGGTTGGCCTGTAACTCACTATGTAGATTGGGTTGGTCTCAAACTCACAGAGATCCACCCACCTTTTACCTCTTCCTCTCAAGTGCTGAGATTAAAGATGTGTGTGCCACTACATCTGGCTATTTTTTCTTTTAAAACAATTTTTTATTTAAATTAGAAATAATCTTATTTTACATATCAATCCCAGTTCCCTCTTCCATTCTCCCCCATGGACCCCCATCCCATCCCCTTTCTGCTCCCCAGAGAGGGTAAGGCCTTCCACGGGGGATCATCAGAGTCTATCACATCATTTGGGGCAGGGTCTAGGCCCTTCCCTGAAAACAATTTTTAAAGTATTTGTTTATTATGTGTCCTGGTGGGGCTCATTGAGTGCCACAGTGTGAGAGTGAAAGTCAAAAGACAACCTTAAGGAGTTAGGCTCTCTACTTTTAATATGCAGTTTCTGGGGATTGTACTCAAATTGTCAGGATTAGGGGCAAAAGCCTTATCCACTGGGCATCTCACTGACCATCCCTATCCCCTCTCCATCTCAATGAACGATCTGGCAACACCTTACCCTTTGTGTTCATATTATTTTTAAACTTTAATCAATAGCTTGTCTCTGTTGTACTCTTCCTCTTCCTCTGATGGTGCTTCTTCACCTTTGAACCACTACCAATCTTCTTAAACAACTTTTAGCTACTTCCCAAAAAAAAAAAAAAAAAAAAAAAAAAAAAAAAAAG